AATCGAAGGGTTCCAATCGAAAGGCTCTGTTAACAGGCCAATCGAAAGGTGCTGCTCATGCTAATCGAAGGACATGGTTAACATGCCTATCAAAGCTGCCTTAACACAATGCTAAATCGAAGGATCCCTTGGCATGCCAATCGAAGTGCTTGTCCATAATACCAATCGAAAGGCTCATTCAGAATGCCAATCGAAGGGTCTTTCAGAATGCCAATCGAAGTGCTCCTTCAGAATGCCAATCGAAATGCTCCTTCAGAATTCCAATCGAAAGGTCTTTCAGAATGCTAATCGAAGTGCTCCTTCAGAATGCCAATCGAAATGCTCCTTCAGAATGCCAATCGAAGGGTCTTTCATAATGCCAATCGAAAGATACTTAAAGCACCACTCAAAAATTTTCTTTTTCCTTAGGCAAGGGTTTGTGATCAACCATGCAGGGGGAAGACTTTGGAAAACATGAGAGGGCAAATTTTGGGGTGCAACATCATGTAATCGAAATTCCCAGTCAACAATACCACGAATTAATTTGTTTAATGCTTTGTTTTTAATCTTCTACAATATATAATACAAGAAATATATATGCCATGAAAAAGACATTAATGCCCACCGTCATTCTGCACGTGTCAAATTAGGCTACTATTAATCTTTACTTTTTTTTATTAATTATTATTACACTTGCAAATTGTCTATGTTGTCCTTGAATTTAACCATCTCATTAAGTTTTTCATAGAGTATCAAAGTAATTTTGATAGTGTATTACTTTATTATATTAATAATAGAATAGATTACTTAGATACATGGCAAGATTTAGACCGTTAGATGAATCTAATGAACATGATTAATCCAAACGAATATTCTCTATCCCTATAAAGGTATCAAATCCCGTTCCGCCGTTTTAGGGAATTAGGGTTTGAGAAATCAACTTGAGCTTGCGCTTGCCAAATTATTATTAATAACATCTACAATTTTTTCCTTTATTTTTATTCACCGACATTTTATTATTATTTTGGATACAAAATTTTGAGCAAATGTTATTCAGGTCTTAGTTACAGTAGTTAATTTGATCCCATAAAGAAAGTTAGAAACTTGAAGAAGAGATTGGAAAGACCTTTTGAGTTAGATAAAATCAACAATGCAACTAGGGTTCAAGATATCGATTGGGTTTGCTCCCTTTCAGAGTCTGAGATTGTAAGTTTATTCTCATTAATCACATGTTTCTTTGTTGATTTTAGGCAATCTAATATTACTACTATAATTTTAGTATTCCTCAATTTTTTAAAAATTGAGCTGGTCATCAAATCGGCGAGATCACCCAGTCATGATTCAAATGTTTTAAATCCCCCGAATTGAGAAAATCAAGAAAATAATTGCTAATTTAACAAACTTATGAATGTAATCTATTATAATGTTTGTGTAATATCAACTGTTATCTTATTCATTAGTAGAGTAGTCAATTTCGAATAACTTTACGGAGCGACATACCCTAAAAATAGGATAGCGGGGCAGAAACCGATAGCAGTAGTCAAAATGGTAGTTAGCTCTTTAGCTTATCATATTTAATTTTAGCCAAATTCAGCTTGTAGTCAACAACAAATTTGAGACTCTCGAGAGCAGTAATTTCGTTCGTCACGGAAGTGGCTTTCTCAACATGATTCACACTCTTTGCCGCCAACTCTTTGATTCTAGCCCTGTCTAGCCCTTTGATGGAAGCTTGCTTAGTCTTGGCGTCAATTATTTTTTGTTTTAATTCCTCAATTTGAGCCTCCCAAAGAGAAATCGATTTGGTATGTCCATCATACTCTGCTTTCACTGCCTGGTACGAAGCCTCTAATTGCTCAGCTTCCTGTGAAGTCTTGAGAGCATTATCAAATTCGTTCACTTGAGTTTGTTGCTTCGTTTGGATCTTTGAGATGATATCTCTTTCCCTGCTATGCTCAGCACTAATCTGGTCAATCATATGATGAGTATCAATTAGAGCCTCACCTATATTCGAGGGGCAAGCAATGATGTTGATATGGCCTATCAATTTCTTCATTCGATAGCAAGCAGTGATGTCTTTCTTCAACATATCAAACAAATTAACTTCAACACAGTTGCTTTCAACCACTGGAGGAGTTAATCATAAGAGGCCTCGTTGGTACCTCCACTGGAATGGGTGGAAATATCAGATTGGCCCTTTTCAGAAGAAGAACCTCTCTTTTCCATCATCATCCTTACATATCCCAAAGGATCATTCTTCTTCAAAGCTTCTTTCTCTTCTTCGGTGAGAGGAGCTTGAGTTTGAGTTGAGGTAATTGGAATTTATGGATGAGCAGAAGTTTGTACCTCAATGACAGTAGGAATTGTCTTCTGATTGAAAGTTAATAGTATTATCTGATTGCAAGTAAGGGTCAAAAGTTTCTTCAGTTGGAAGAAGTCCAGTTATTGCGGCTATGTCAAAAATAGTGGGAGTCATCATCCCACAAGGAAGATGAAAAGTATTGTAGGTGCTATCCCAGAAATATAAAGACGCTAATAGCAGAGGTTGGCAATAACTGCATCCTAATTTTGACATTTGGGTTAAATCGAAGATACCCAAATCTTTCCAGTCTTGGGATTTTTTCTTTTTGATTTTTAAGAGATAAGACAAATAGTCTAATGAGAGGCATGATCGAAAGGGTTTAAAGTTTTCAGTTATATAATCTAATTGAAAAACTTCCCTCTTTATCCTGGAAACTGGAGTCTCCTTAGAAGTTTTCTCTTTAGAAGCTTTTATGGGTTTCTTAGCCGAATCACCATCGTTTTTTTTAGGAGGATTGGCTATATTAGCTAATGGTTTGGTTTCATGGTAGACGGGAAAAAATTCTACAGACTTTTCCAAATTTTTGGCAGAAATCAAAGGTCCCATGAAACATAGGATTTTATCAGCAAGATAAGAAGAAATGAGTACTTGAGAAACATAAATAGCTTTTTGTTCTGGAGTGAATTAGGGAGTGGAGATAAATTCCCGATTTTCAAAGGTCATGAGTTCACTAGCAAGCCCATATTAAAGCGTAATATTTTTTGAAGTTCCTGTTCCCTTGGTGTTCTTGGATGATTGTTGTTTTTTAGATGACGACATTGTTGAAATAAGTGTTGGATTGGAATTTGAAAAATGGGTTGTGTTTTGAATTTTTTTTTTGGAAGATTGAGGGTTTCAAAAATGGAAGTGTGAAGATGAAGATGAAGAGTTTATAAAAGATTTATATTAATTGAGGAGTTTACCCCGTAACAAGCTAGTGGAACACATGTGTTTTTGTTATTGGAAGAAGAAGAGGTTAAGCTATTTTTTTCTTGGAAACTGTTTTATAGATGGTAATGATGAAACTGCTATACGCACGTATGAATAGATGTTTGAAAAAATGTGATTACTTTTTTATGATGTTACAATAGTGAAAGGTTATCATGAGTATATGATCTATCGAAATTTATTGTTTTTGAAATAATGTAAAATTTAATTTTCATTTGCATCATTATATTTCACGCGCCTTACATCTATTTCTGATTTAAATTTACATCCATATACATACGTACGGTATATATCTTCTTTTAGTTTTTAATGTTTTTTGTAATTCTTTTTTTTATTATTAAGAATATACAAAAAAATGTGTGTTTCTCTTTTAATTTCTTTTAATGTAGAATTTAGTTCTTTTAGTTTTAATATAAAAAAATACATAAAATATTTTTGTTTTAATGATTTTTAATTTCATCATTTTTTATGATTGTTAGTTTTATTTTATACCCTTAAGGTTTGATTTTGTGTGGATAAGAAGGTGGCGGTGGATGAATCCAAAAATGAGATAACAGTGAAACAAAATCACGATTTTCCTCTGAACCCATCACTACTTCACCTCAATCTCTCCATCGATCCATCCATACTACCCTCAAACTCCCAGTCTCTCTGTCTTCGAAACCACCGCATAAACCTTGCAACACCATCTCTCCGCCTATCTCTATCATATACTACCCCCGCTTCATCACCAAAACTACATCCGTAATCATCACCATCGTCCTCATCGAGCCACCGAACTCTATCCTCTCTAGCGCCTTCCGCCTTCACGCGATATCCTCATTATCTTCTCATCGCACAACATACTCCCTCCGATCTGTCAACAACGCCTCTTCCTTCTCCGTAAAACGCATTCAAACACCAGTTACCGCGACTGATCTCCATCATCATCAACTTCTCCTCCCACCGATTCAACACCACCGGTCTCTGCTACCTCACTATTCCCCTCGCCAATCCACCTTCAAACCCTAGCCGGACTCCCTCCGTTAGCTCTCCGTCTTCTCAAAGCTTCATCTCTCGTTCAACAACCTTCCTCTTCGACACGTTCCGGTAAATGTATTTTCGCCATTTTCACCAATCTCTGATTTGTTTTGTTTAAGTGCAAATTCGGCTTCTTGTTGTTTATGAATGGACTGATATACTTGTTTCACTTAATTCTGCAAATTGAAGCTGATGTTAGTACTTGTTGACAGTTTATTACTTTCTAGGGTGATAACAAATGTGAAGTTTATTGCGCTTGTTTGTCTTAATGAGTTTAAGGGTTCCAAGGTGTTTAAGGGTTCCATGGTGATTATTTTTTTATGATGTTACAATAGTGAAAGGTTATCACGAGTATATGGTCTATCCAAATTCAGGATTATCATGAGTATATTATTCAATTTGTTTACGCTTAAATTTGGTAAACAACCGCTAGTCCTCCAAATTAAATATCTTGATAACTTACAGGATCGATTAGATTGATCCTAGGACATGTGTCTAAGTTCCTAAGATTGAATTTATAATGAGGTTCATGTTTAACATCACTTTATTGATAACAGAATGGGAATTAGAAATACAATTTACAATAAATTCAAATGAATAATGTAAGGGCTTCGACTGAAAACGTAAAGGAATGTAAAAGAAGTGCAGAATAAATGTAAAGTTTTTGATTTGAAAGAGTAAAAGTTTCGATTAAAAAATAAAGGAAATACTGGGAATGTTAAAAGACTTGGTATTGATAAAATATGATAAATCGAAAAGAACAATGATGGTGTCTATACGTACATTTCCTGCCACTCTTTTCTCTAATACTTGGTACTTCGAGTATATTGAGTATTCAAAGAACGCATGTCCTTCGAACCCATCAAACTTCCACGCGTCTCTTTGGATAAGATCAAACTTTCGAATTCAAAATTTCTTCCTTTTTGAAGCGTCAAATCAAACAATGCGACGGTCGAAGTATATCCTTTCTTGTGATACTTCGAATAATTTAATTTCCATTGATTCGCAAACGAACCTTTCGACAACGCTTGATAAAAAGAAATTCTTGCTAGCTTTTATCTATCGAAACCTTGATAGGAATTCCTTCATATTTTCTTTCGAACTTCTTTTCTTCCAAAATGTACTAATTTGTTTAAGAAATCATGTAATCGAAATTCCCAATCAACAATACCATGAATCAATTTGTTTAATGCTTTGTTTTTAATCTTTTACAATCTATAATACAAGAAACATATATGCCATGAAAAAGACATTTATGCCCACCGTCAGTCTGCACGTGTCAAATTAGGCTACTATTAATCTTTATTTTTTTTTAATTTTTTTTTAATCATTATTATACTTGCAAATTGTTTATGTTGTCCTTGAATTTAAGCCTCTCATTAAGTTTTTCACAGAGTATCAAAGTAATTTTGATAGTGTATTACTTTATTATATTAATAATAGAATAGATTACTTAGATACATGTCAAGATTTTGACCGTTAGATGAATCCAACGAACAGGATTGATCCAAACGAATGTTCTCTTTCCCTCTAAAGGTATCAAATCATGTTCCGCCGTTTTAGGGAATTAGGGTTTGAGAAATCAATTTGAGCTTGCGTTTGCCAGATTATTATTAATAACATCTACAATTTTTTTTCCTTTATTTTTATTCACCGACATTTTTTTATTATTTTGGATACAAAATTTTGAGCAAATGTTATTCAGGTCTTAGTTACAGTAGTTGATTTGATCCCATGAAGAAAGTTAGAAACTTGAAGAAGAGATTGGAAAGACCTGTTGAGTTGGATAAAATCAACAATGCAACTAGGGTTCAAGATGTCGATTGGGTTTGCTCCCTTTCAGAGTCTGAGATTGTAAGTTTATTCTCATTAATCACACGTTTCTTTGTTGATATTAGGCAATCTAATCTTACTACTATAATTTTAATATTCCTCAATTTTTTAAAAATCGAGCTGGTAATCAAATCGGCGAGATCACCCAGTCATGATTCAAATGTTTTAAATCCCTCGAATTGAGAAAATCAAAAATATAATTGCTAATTCAACAAACTTATGAATGTAATCTGTTATAATGTTTCTGTAATATCAACTATTATCTTATTCATTAGTAGAGTAGTCAATCCCGAAGCTTTGCGGAGTGGCAGACCCCTAAAATAGGATAGCGGGACAGAAACCGCTCCAGGCCTGAAACCGCTCGGCCCCGGCTACTCACTATTTACCTTCTTGTGGCCGCTATAGTGTTCTGCACTGCTTAGGCTCTTCCCATAGCGACCGGCCTCCGCTCCACTCTGCTGTAGCAGAATAACACCGCTATTGGCCGCTATCGACTCCGCTGATTTCTAGTTGTGCATTTTTTTTGTTTTTTTTAATCGATATTTTGCTCCTCCTAATGTCTCTGCTATAAAACTTCATTTTTTAAGAAAATGTAAGAATTAGAACATGCCTCTAACCAGTTCATTAAACTGTGTTGGGTAAAAGTGCATGCGGCTTTGACATGGTTATCTGTGCAAATCTTGTCTGAGGTTGGTTTTGCCAAACATGGCTAAATGTGCCATGTCTCTTTGATGAATTATAATGTTCCCCTTCGCCTTAGTGATTTATTCATGTATGTTTGTAAAATTCAACATTTGAAATCTTGGCAGGATTTTATGATTAGCTTGAAATTGTTGATCAGGAAGCGAGCAGAAAGGATAGGCTGTAAAAACTTGGCTGACAGATTTGACCTTAAGACGATTCGAGCTATTGGTATGTCACATGCTCTTGTTTAAGACCTATAATATGCATGCTCTTAGAATTCGAATTATTGAGATTTAGAATCGGATTTAATTGAATATTGCTGTATTAATTTCAATAATTGAAATTCTTAATGTACTCTTCTTGAAAATTAATCCATTTCTTGCATTTGTAGCTATTAGCTAGACAATATATGATTATTAAGTAGTTGAACTATTTCAATTCTCTAACGTCTTGTGAATCTTTATTTATGCAGCATTTGTTTTGATGGAAAATCTCAAAACAGAGGTAAAAGACACCTCACTTGTACCAGACACGGCAAAATCTACTGCTTTCTTAGATGCGTGCAACATACTTAAATGTAGTAATGAGGTTTCTGCAACAATTGAAGAGCTTAGTAAAACTGTTGGTGCTGATATACAACCAATTCTAACAAGGTACCTATGCCAAATTGTAATGTTTGTGGTATGGAGTAAATATATGATTACTGTCCGATTGCGTGTGCAAATTATTTTCCATGGTTAGAACTTGAGCTTTATTACAAATAGATACATACATGGCATATGATCCATTTTTCCCTAGAGCTTCTGTAAAAGATGTAGCAGTTAACCGAGTGATTTAATTCAATAATCGATGAATACAAAAATTTCCACTAGAGCCATATAAAGAAAAGAGAACAAACCTAATGAGTTTTTGATTTATCTGTCTGAAAATTTAGGTTACGAAATTAGCTCATAAGGCGAGGAAGTCAACTTATGTAAACACATTTTTAGGTCTTATTGTCAAATATGATACTATCAATACAACCCTCTCAAGTCCAAAGATTGAATATCTGAAGTCTAGATTGAATTTCGAGTGTTCCAATGAGAGCTTCCAAGATGTGTTGCACCTCCTGCAATCAGAGCAGACACCAAAAGTCTAGTATTGAGTGATAGATGAGTGTGCTGGCAGTACTACATTGAGTGATATATAAGTTTTATGAGCTATATCCCTCATCTTACAAGTCAATTGTGTAAAGTTAAGTTAGGCCCAACTTAAATTCTAAGTGGCTATCTTTGATTTGTTGAGTCATGCTTCAAATGTTCAGTCCTGAGTATGAGGGGTGTATTAACTGTTCTACATTAGATGAGAGGGTATCCTCCAGCTTATAAATTAATTTATTCTTATGGAGTTTAGTGACGCTATTGCTATCATCTGCACAGCTGTTTTTAATATTTTTATTTACGTTTTGGTATACAGTTCGTCGCCAACTTCCAAAAGAAAGAAGCAGAAAGTTGGAAGCAAAGAATAAAAGATTTTGTCCCGGGAGGACCTGAAGTTTATCCTCCTTATTTTAGTGTCTTTGCCTGTGCTGTGAAAACACTGATTTTGAGTGTCTCTATTGGCTAATTGGCTAATATACACATGCAGGAACTTCTATATTTGTTTGGCATTAAAGATTTTGCGCAAAGATTGTATAGATGCAAGAAAAAACCAGTACAGAAAATGAAATGAAATTTTGCAATGTTTCAATGAATTTTTTTTTAGAATAACCTTCTATTTCTACTACCGTTTATTTTTCTATTTGCATGATATAGAAATAGTTGGGAGTAAATATGTTGATTGAATTTAGAATATTGTTGTTTGCAAGAATGTATAGTAAATATGAGAAATGGGTGTGACTTCTGTATGTATGGAATGGAGTAACAATGTTGATTGAATTTAGTGTTCGATTATGTGATAGGGAAATGCTGTTTTTTTTGGTCTGTAACTCTTCTGTTCCAAGAGAGAAAAAATGGTTCCTGGAATTTGAAGTTTGGACCCGATATACTCATATTTTTTAAGGAAAAAACGTAGATACAATTCTTTAGGTGTGATTTTTATTATTTTTCAATAAAAATATATCAAATGTATAATTTTCTTATACATATGCAATTTTTTTCCTTCTATTTTCACTTTAATATTTAAGTATATTTGTCATATTTTTATTAGAAAATAATAAAAATCATACTTAAATAATTATAATTAAGTTTTATCCTTTTTTTTTTAAAATATAAAATTACCGTTTCTCTAATCCCATATATTCGATAAAATGAAGTTAAAAAATTCCTCGAAATTTTAATAGGATAAAAGTTTCACTTTCAAATTTCTATTTGGAAGTTAACATCTTCAATATACAAACATAGAACTATTGAATTTGGCCATGCTTACTATTTGAATTCAAATCAGAAATTTGACCTTTTTTAATAGTTCAGGTTTTCCTTTTTTTTTTTTTTTTAAATATAAAATTCTTATGTTTTCCTTATGATATGTAACAATGAAGAACAAGTTCTCTTAGGTGAAGATTATACTAAAGCATTTAAAAGTGATTAAAAGTTTGACACTGGAAAAACTTGGTTGATATGAGCTAGAGGTTGATTTCTGAATCGATTCATAATGTCTGTTTTTGCCTAAAACCCTTCTTTTTCATGTTCTAAACCTCATTTTGATATGCTCTTGGACATTGATGAAGTGATCATAGGCTTAGACTTCATTTATAATGAGCTTAGGACAAGGTGATCTAAATGCAAAAATAGATTAAATTATAAAAAAAAATACTAGTATATAAGTGGAAGTTTGACTTATGGATTAATGAATTGTTAGAAAAAGTTATACTCCCTCTGTTCCACAATGAGTGAGTCAACTCACCATTTTTGTTTATTTGTTTGCTTACTCTGCAAATAAATATGGTTAGTTCGAATAATAAAATATTCGAAAGAAAGCCTGTGGATCTCAATTATACCTTTGGATCATCATTATTTGAAGCATTGCTTCTAATGTGTTCCAGGACAACTTGAATAATATGGTGAGTTAGATTTTCTTTTTGGATTAGGGGCAAGGTTGTGTCAGGATCTTGTTGATTGGATTGTTTGGGACTGCCAATAGATTTCTTAGTTTTTTTCTTTTTCTTCTTGGCTTTGAAAGGAGTAGGAGGAATATCTTCAGCATTGTCTTCTTCGTCTTCAATAATCACCAGGTCTTTGTCATCAGTCTTCCTTTTTCCTGGAGACTTTGGTGGAAGACCACTAACCTGAAAATATCATAGTTAAGCATTGTATAAGGGACTTCGAGGAAATTTTGTTTATGAAAATCATACCTTAATTTTCTTCGATTTCAGCTTGTCTGAGGGCTTGTCTTGTGCGGAAGAAGGCTCTTTGGTGTTTGTAGTAGTAGTTTGATCTGAAGGCGAAGTTGCCTTCGATCAAGGTTTTTCTTTCTTGGCCACTTTCCTCTCGATAGCTAATAATAGACGTACATTTGAAAGTTGGTTAAATGAATAATATTGAATAAATTTGAAAAGACAATCGAAAGGATCAAAGAGTCCTTTGGTTCCACACCTTCATATGTATCAAATACAATAGAGACTGCTGATAAGTCATAATACAAGAAATCTTTGAAACTGTCCAGAGTATGCTTAATCGAAACCACTCTCTTAGTAGGTGTTTGAGCATCATTTTTTAGGGTGTTAAAAATATTTCCACAAATAAACTAATCTGGGTAAGGCGGAAAAAACGCTAAACCAGAGTCAGCATTTGCTAATTTTGGAAATTTTGGTGGTTGCAATTGAAAAACTAGTTCATATCTATGTCCAGGCTTTATGGAAGATGGAATTTTTAGGCTTGGACATAGATATGAACTAGCTTTTCAATCGCAACCACCAAAATTTCCAAAATTACCAAATGATGACTTTGGTTTAGCATTTTTTCCGCCTTACCCAGATTGGTTTATTTGTGGAAATATTTTTAACACCCTAAACAATGATGCTCAAACACCTGCTAAGAGAGTGGTTTCGACTAAGCATACTCTGAAAAGTTTCAAAGGTTTCCTGCATTATGACTTATCAGCAGTCTCTATTGTATCTGATACATATGAAGGTGTGGAACCAAAGGATTCCTTGATCCTTTCGATTGTCTTTTCAAATTTATTCAATATTATTCATTTAACCAACTTTCAAATGTACGTCTATTATTAGCTATTGAGAGGAAATTGGCCAAGAAAGAAAAACTTGGATCGAAGGCAGCTTCGACTTCAGATCAAACTACTACTACAAACATCAAAGAGCCTTCTTCCGCACAAAACAAACCCTCAGACAAGCCGGAATTGAAGAAAATTAAGGTATGATTTTCAGAAGCAAAATTTCCTCGAAATCCCTTATACAATGCTTAACTATGATATTTTCAGGTTACTGGTCTTCCACCAAAGTCTCCAGGAAAAAGGAAGGCTGATGACAAAGACCTGGTGATTATTGAAGATGAAGAAGACAATGCTAAAGATATTCCTCCTACTCCTTTCAAAGCTAATAAGAAAAAGAAAAAGACGAAGAAATCTATTGACAATCCCAAATAATCCAATCAACAAGATCCTGACACAACCTTGCCCCTAATCTGAAAAGAAAATCAAACTCTCTATTATTCAAGTTGCCCTGGAGCACATTGGAAGCAATGCTTCAATGGTGATGATCCAAAGGTATAATTGAGATCCATAGGATCTCTTTTGAATATTTTATTATTTGAACTGACCATATTTATTTGCAGAGTAAGCAAACAACTGCTCCGGATTCTTTTGCACATATTGAAATCCCATCTCAAATTGGTCATGCTCCGCCTCTACTCAAACCTAGTAGTGTGGTACTCAACAAAGGTTCTTGCACTGCCTCTCCCCAACTCGAAACTGGCGACGTTCAAAGCGAAGAAGTATTTTCTTCTCCTGATGACAATGTCTTAAAGGAATCTACAAGAGCTGGCAAGAGGAAACAAGGTCCAATCGAAGATAGCCCTAGCGACTCTTCCCCAAAAAGGGCCAAATTTTCTGAAGACTTTCTTGATGACGAGGAACATTTTTCAGAAGATGTTACCCATCATTTTTATAATGAAGGCGAAGGCGAAGTGGAGCAGACCAAAGATCAAGAAAATAGGAGCAATCGGGAGACAATTACTACTGTCATTGAGGTACAAACTTCTGCTCATCCACAAATTCAAATTACCTCAACTCAAACTCAAGCGCCTCTCACCGAAGAAGAGAAACAAGCTTTGAAGAAGAATGATCCTTTGGGATATGTAAGGATAATGATGGAAAAGAGAGGATCTTCTTCTGAAAAGGGACAATATGATATTTCCACCCATTCCAGTGGAGGTACCAACGAGGCCTCTTATGATGAACTCCTTCAGTAGGTGAAAGCAAATGTGTTTGAAGTTGATTTGCTTGATGTGTTGAAGAAAGATATCACTGCTTGCTATCGAATGAAGAAATTTATAGGCCATATCAACATCACTTCTTGCCCCTCGAATATAGGTGAGACTCTAATTGATACTCATCATCTGATTGACTAGATTAGTGCTGAGCATAGTAGGGAAAGAGATATCGTCTCAAAGATCCAAACGAAGCAGAAAACTAAAGTGAACGAATTTGATAATGCTCTCAAGACTTCACAGGAAGCTGAGCAATTGGAGGCTTCGTATCAGGCAGTGAAAGCAGAGTATGATGGACATACCAAATCAATTTGTCTTTGGGAGGCTCAAATTGAGGAATTAAAACAAAAAATCGCTGAAGCCAAGATCAAGCAAGATTCCATCAAAGGGATAGATAGGGCTAGAATCAAAGAGTTGGCGGCAAAAATTGTGGATCATTTTGAGAATGCCATTTCCATGACGAACGAAATTACTGCTCTCGAGAGTCTCAAATCTGTTGTTGACTACAAGCTGAATTCGGCCAAAATCAAATATGATAGGCTAAAGAGCCAACTACCATTTTAATTTATTATGTAATATTGAACTCATTTTCTGTTGTGCTTTGTTTACAGTTTGTAATTCCTTAGAACAACAACCATTTTGGAAACCTTATTTTTATTAGTATTATTTGGCTTAAGACAAAGCACTTCACATTATCCCGCTAAAGTTCTAACTTCTTGAAGACATGGTCTATACTTCTTTAAGTATTTACCGTTTACTTTTAGGCTCCTTTGATCCTCTTCTAGCTCTTAGATCTCATAAGCGTTATTTGAGAATGCTCGTAAGATTTGAAAAGGACCTTCCTAATGTGGATACCATTTACCAAATGACTTATTCTTTCGATCCATAGGAAAAATTACTTTCCATACTAAATCATTGGTTACGAATATTTTACCTTTAACTCTTTTGTTATATGTCCTGGTTATTCTTTCTTTTTGTCTTCTCAAAGTTTCCAACGCATGCATCCTTTCTTCATCCAGATCTACTAATTCATTCATCATCATTTCCCAATAATGCTCAGAAGGAATTTCTCTTTGCCTCTGAA